AAGAGATGCACTTTTAAAATTTCATATATTTTAGAAGGGTGGAAAAGGGTTACTGTTGGAATAGCATGCAAGTCACAGGGATGGGATTTTCACAGTGTAAATGGTCTTAGGGCAGGTTTCCTCAACCCCAGCAATTTTAAGATGGGTGGTTTTCAACTCCAAAAATTCCCCAGCCAGTATGGCTGGCTGGGGATTTCTGGGAGTTGAAGTCCACCCATCTTAAAGTTGCTGAGGTTGAGGAACCCTGTCTTAGGGGACAGGTAATTAGTAGAGACAGCGGGGTTGTAAGATCATGCACCCCATGACATCTTCATGCAAGGTGCAAATTATGTCATTTGCATCAGTTACAGATGTGCAATGATGTCACGGAGTGCATGATGTCATTGTGGCTTCTACGTAATCCCTGTGGGGGTGTGGTTCAGTTTGGGTTTTGAGGTGCGTTCAGTCTTTCCTACAATTTACACACCTCTTTTACACTTACACTTGGTAGGAAACTGTACCTCTGTTTTTGGAATGACCATCACCACTTTTCAGGGACAGATTTCAGAAGATGGGAAGGCCCACCAAATGGGACTGAGGTGCTCTGAACGTCAATGGAACATTATATTCTGTGTGGGGATGGTGAGCCCGCCGTCCTGGGTGAGAGAAATTCCTCAGTTCATCCTTCCTACTCCTGGAGCAAGGAACATAATGCATAAAACTGAGCCCCACAAAAGAAAAATGGTTATCTGCTACCACAGCCGATGTTCAAGCCCCATCTAGCTCTAAGGCTGGTCCTCAAAAGTGCAGAGAAGTCTCAATGTTCTCAGGAAAAGCAACACAAAATAAAAACAAGCCATAAGACATTAGAAGGTTTTGTGTGCACCAAAAGACTCTGGAGAAGAACTTCCAGGAGGTTCTGTTGGTTTGTTCCACAAGCATTGCTAATTGTTGAAGAACCAGCCTTCCAGGATTACCAGCTTTCATTCACTGTCAATGAAAGTAAGCAATGAGAAAATATGGTTGGCAGGTTGAGAAAACAACGCGACGGAAGAGAAAGTAATGTTAAAAATGTTTGTTCTAATAATTTAGTGTGAATGGTACAAAAATGTGTCAGGTTTACTGAAGAACCCCTGAAGGGATGGATAGCATTTTTTTTTACACGATTATACATTTTGTCTTTGACTTCTTTTTCTTCTTTTTGCCATTTTTGCTCATCTTCTCTTTGTGCTTTCGGATTTCTCGAACTAATGTGTAGAAGGCATCGTCTACACCCTGCAAAGAGAAGATAGCACTTTTAGTTCCAAGTGATACTGGTTCGGCTATAGTTCCTTACGCCTGCACCCCAAAGTTTTAGCAAGTTTGCATCTTCTACTTCCTCTGAGAACTCAGTCTTGTTTGCTGAGTTTTACAGTCTTCTTCAGGTTCTCCTGAAGATCTTGAGAAACAATCCATTTTATAGAGCAGTTAACCCAACCTGGTACTATCTCAGTGGCTTGGCCTATAGCTTGAGAAATACCTTGTCAGCCTGGCATAAAGTGAGAAAGTTTATTGTATGTATAAATCTTCAGAGAGCAACTGGCTCGCTGACAAGAATCACAGGGTTACAAAGGGCCTCAGAGGACAGCTAATTCAAGACTGTGATCTGTTGGCTAATTCTGCAAGCAGGCTGGTTGAAGGACTACAGTCCAACATCTCTGAGGAGCACTGGGTTGGAGAGAGGTGGAGAACACAGGCCACCCACTCTTATAACATAGCATCACAAAAAAAGAATGAATTAGGCCAGGATCTGTAGGACAAATAATGAATAGTGATAGATCAAGTAAGGCAATGAAATGACAATCAAAGCAATGACAAAAGTCAAACACACACACAACTAAAATAGAAAATCCACAATACCTTGTTTAGTCTTGCAATGTAGCCACTCAACTGTCCCAGTAAGACTTTTCCATTACAATTCTTCCCTGAACTAGGCCCACAGGACTATCCTTTTAACATTCTCCATTCCAGGGTCCTATTCTTCAGATGTTATCCTTCATTCATTCATTCTCTCATTCATTCTCTCATTCATTCATTCCACTCATTTATCTTGTTAATTCACTACTAGGTTATGTGAGCAAAACCCACCCTCCATTCTCTTAATTTGTATTAAAGAACTGTGCTCGTATGTTTTGATCAACTTGTCCATGGCATGCCTGTTCTTCAGACTCCACCACCACTACTTTCTACTCCATCTGATCGTACAATCTCAAGAAACGTGTTGAGCCAAACCACTTCCAGCATACAAGGTCTCCTCCAACTATCTCCTTCATCCCAATATCTTCTTTTGGCATTTATTCCTATGGTATTTCTAGCTGCCTTAAACCATGATGGAAATGGCAGCCATCTTTCTAGAAGATGCCCCCTTCAGCATCTCCCAAGAACCACATCTGCCTTCCTTGCAAATTCACCCACTAAGCTAATCTTTTGCAGTACAATCCTTTACAAGATTCCTTTCTTTAAAGAAGTATATACTGTGGCAATAGCTTGCAATGTAACCCCAGGCCTCTCTGCTCAAGATTAATTCTCATGGGGTTCAATGGATCTACTCAGAAAACTGGGTAAAGGCGATGAGGTTTTAGAGACAGGTTTATAGAAACTGGGGTGAGATATGGAATGAAGAGATGTTTGGTTATATTTTAAGAGACAGTGATAAGCTGTAATGTTGACTATACTTGGTGGGGATGAAGGGGCAGGTTTCTTTTTCCAATTTTTCTTTTTTCTCTTTTCTTTTTCTGTACTTTTTTTAATTTCAATTTTTAAAAAATTTATTGTTTTATTTTGTAGCGGTATAAGTTTTATTTGTATAACATAATCTTTAATAAAATTATTACGAAGAGAAGAGAGAAGAGAAGAGAAGAGAAGAGAAGAGAAGAGAAGAGAAGAGAAGAGAAG